GCATAGCTCCAGGTTGAGCTGTTGTTCAGCATCTTAGCTGTAGAGGGCAGTGTCACTGGCCCTCATATGTGGGATCCGAACCGGGGTCCTCTGGTGTCCCAAGCCAGGTCTTAGCCAACGTGCCACTCGGCCGGCCCTGTTTATCTTTCTTACTACCCTTCTGAATTTAAAATTATTGGAAAATATAGGGAAGCACAAAAATGAAGGTAAAATCAACCAGATCTTCTCAGGCAAAGAAAATTCCCAATTAAAAAAATTAAATCCTATGACCTTCTAAGCCCACCTTTCAGAATTAATATTTTGCTGCATTCACTTTCAAACCTTCTCTGTTCTTATAAGGATAATCTATTTTCATATACACATATGTGCATTCTTATTGTTGTCTCAGCAAAAATAGAATTATGCTATACCTTTTAAGTTGAGACTTTTTCCCCACTTATGATAAACTGTAGAACCTTCTACATCTGCACACCTAAATCTATTTTATTTTTTTTAGGATTAAATCCATTTTGTAAATATATTGCCCTTGTAAATTTTTCCAGGTATATCAATTTTTGTTTTTTATCTCTTCTGTATGATTAGATTATAAATTCATTTAATGTGAAATATGTACCTTACATACCTTAGTAGTATCACAGTATTTCACTTTAAATACATACATAAATGCGTATTGAATGAATGGAGAAACAAGTCATTACAAATCAATTCTGACACATTCTAGAAAAGCATCACCAAGGAGGCTGTATGTAATTATGTTTCAAAATACAGCTAAGCTGAAGAAATGAAATACCAACATTTAATTACAACGATCAACACAACAAAACCACAGAGGAAGGGTGCTAAACAATCATTTCCCCTTGTTTACAAACTCTTACTCACAGAAACATGCATGCCACAAAGAGAAATGTGCTTGTAAACACCCACATGGTTTCTGAGCTTGTGCACAATCTCCATGAACGGGGTGTAGCTATCGACCTGCTTGTCATCTCTCTCTCCCAGCTGTTGTTGCCATTGTAAAGGCAAGGTCCGTGTCCTTTCTAGTTTTGTATTATCCAAAAGTATCAGCGTATGATAGGAACATATGCTGTTTTCTACTAAGTGGACATCCCGAACTACAACTCTTTTGTTCTCCTAAAGTATGCCGATAATTATAGCACATCATTGTCTCCGATCTAACATTTTACCTTTTCCACCTTGCTTATTCTTCATATGCTCATCTTAATTTATACACTGCCTTGGAGTCGTCTGATATATCCTGAGATTGCACACTGTAATTTTTCTTTATGGCATCCCTTTCATTTATTTGTGGTTTCTGTAAGTAGACTACAGGCTCCACCAACATAGAAATCATATGTGTCTTGTACTTTGTGGTACCCCCAGTGCCCGACAAAGGTGCTGGAACAAATGGAAGATAGCAGGCCTTTGATAAATACGTTGGTGAGTAAATATATAATTCTAGTAGTTGGTGAATTAGCATGGGTTTAAAAATTTAGAACTAGAAAAATAAGCTATTGCATATGACAAAGGCAGCTTGGCTATTTTTAATAAACTGACAGGCCAAGAGGATTTTTGAAAAGTATGAAATTCAGTCATATGGCCTAACGTAAATAAAAAGAAAACACTCAAACAGTTGCTTGTGGCATTCATCAGTTAATTATTCATTTATCAAATAATTTTGTGTCTTTAGATGGCTAAGACACAGGTTAAGAAGCAGCAATGAATCAAAGGAGATAATTAGAAAAAAGAAAAAAATATATATGTGCACACACATATAGCCCTGGATGCTTGAGTATCCCAAGCCTGCCCCAACTCTTAACAACATCCACTGAGTGAATTACTCATAGTAACTCACAGTGTCCGTCCACTGGTAAATAGCCAATAAACACTGATGATGGTGATAGAGTACCCAGCACTCCTTTTCTGATATTGAGTTACATGGGTTATTTCCACTGTATCTTGTTGGAGACAAAATGGATTAGCTATGGTCCTTTATTCAGTCTCAAGGGAAGAAAATATGTGGCAGATATTTTTAACCCTTGCATAAAACATAAAGTTTGGCCAATCTCCTTTGAGCATTTCATAGTTCCCTGAGACTTACACTGACATGTCATATATACAGTTAAGCCTTTCTTTTTATCACCTTTATCGACGACCCGTCTTACTGTTCACTATTTACATTTATATCTACCCTTTGTACAGTGTCGGTAACAACAAAAATATCTCTCCTGTATTATGTCTAGTATACATTAGCCACTCTATTGAGAATTTTACATGTATCATGCCACTGGATTTCGACAACAGTCTCATGAGGTGGTTCACTGTACAGATGAAGGAATTGAAACTCAAATTGAGTGACTCCATTGAGCTTTCAAATCCTTTTGCCTTCAGAGATCAAACACTTGATTAGATTGCCTTTCAGTACTAATTGACAACGCGGAAAATGCTGAACTAAACTGTGAGAAATGGAGGAGTTTGTCAGTCCACAATCATTGACTAAGTATCTCAAAAGGGCCAGGCACTTCGTGCACAGACACATCCATATTAACTGTCTTACTGCCTAATCTAATATGGAAATTTTTTTCATTCAACAAACATGTAATGAGCACCTACTAGGTGGTAGGTTCCATGGGCAAAACGTGAGTATGGTATAATCTCTGGCTTTAAGTAGCTCACAGTTCACCTAAGAGAGAGAAAAATCCCAGCGTTGATTCCTTTTTGAAATAGAAATTTACCATAGCTAAAGGCTGCCCTCTACTGGGCATTTGTGAAAACTAATCAAGTCACCGTTTTTGTTTCGTTTTTTTCCTCCAACGTTAAAACTATAAATGAACCTGAGTCTCTCAGAAATAAAAATACTTTTGCTTCATCATAAAACTTTTCACTTCATGCCATTTAACCAGGGACTTATAGAATTTGGGATGGGGTTGAAGTTTTCTGGCTAAGTTTCTATTCTGAACTTCTTCATTGATTTGAACAAGTGAAAAGAAGTATATGGTAAAACTCTGGATCTCTTTGTAACCAACACTTAAATAACAGTTTTTTAAAATTCCCATTTATTGAGCACCTGTCCAATACTTTATGTAAATACTTATATAAGTTACCTTACGAAACAGTTCCAAGTTGGCATCTCAGTGGTGTATTTAGCCTACATGAATGTTTTGTTTGGCCCAGAGGAATTACCAATTTTTAAAAATTCTGACATTTCACAAGAAGCTGTAGATTTCTGGTATTTTTTTTTAAGTAGGAGGTCTGGTTATACTGGACCATGTATGCATAACAACACAACCTACCAGCTAGAAGAGATTAGAAAATGATACTGAGGTTTTACGGGTTGAAAATTTAAGTTGGAAACATTTGCAAAGCAATTTTTTTTCTTTTACCCTACAAAAATGAAGACTTTTACTTCTTTTCTCCCTTAAGAGACCATATCATATTCGCGCCAGTACTTCCAGCAAGGAAATTGTTCACATGTTTGAGACGGCTATAGTGACTTATCCTTCTGCCTGGTCACAGGAAATGGTGTCACTTATTAAAAAGGTAAGAAGGACTGCACGGCAAAAGGAAGTAGTAAAAAAGAATCATGCTCTCTGGTTTGAGGTTAGAAGTTACTATATGCAATATTGGAAGCAATCATGATAATATACATTTCCAGAGTGGGGTTTGCAGCTGACGGCTTTCAAATATGTGGCTTCAGTGAGCCAGTATACATGTCCTCTTGTATGTCCCAAAGCCATCTCAAACTGTGTGTGCCCAAAATGCAGTTTTTAATTTCCTGGACTTTTTCCAATGTTCCCTTTCTCTGTAACTGGCCTCTGCATCCATCCACTTCTGCAAGCCAGAAACCAGAAATCATTCATCATCCCCATATCCAATCCATCACCAAGTTCTATAATTTTAAATATGTTTTGAATCTATCACCTCTGTCCATCTCACTGCTATCTTCCTAATCGTACTGTCGTCAAGTCTTGCTCATAGCTGGTTTTCCCCTGTACACGTTTACATACTCCATCTGCTCTCCATTCTTTCTGCCCCCTAGTGATCTGTTTAAAACACACTTCATTGCCTTCTCATTGTTTTTAGAATAAAGATCAAAATAATTTGTATGGTAGAAAGGTTCTAACTACCTCGCAAGCCTTACTTTTGACTTCTGTCCCCTTTTTGATTACATATAAACTGTGTTGACCTTTTTTCTCTTGTTTCCCTTCTACCTCTTCACCCTTTTATATTATCCTCTCACCACAGGCCCTTTGCACATGCTAATCCCTCTGCCTAGAACACTGTCCCCCTCCCCAGCTCTCCCAGCTTCCTCCTTCAGACTAGTGCTTTTCAGTATGAATTACTGACTGGTTCAAGTCCATTAATTGTTTCCTACAGGTCCACGATGAGTACAGAAATTAAGAGAAATATTTAGAAGTTTTTATAGTAATTTGATATTGCTGATGCCTTTAAGTACATGGTCAGCAGACTCATCTCATTGAACAAGGTACAAGCCTATTTGGTGATGTTGAATTCAAGTCACATTTTGTACACGTTGTGGAGCTGCATGCTAGCCATGCACAAGAACACCACCTGCTGGTTTCAATGTGTTGGAAATTAAACACATGAGCCAACAAATAACTGGCCCTTCTACATAGTTTGAAAAGCCTAACTTTAGATCTCAGCTGAAATATCACTTCCTTGGGAAGCCTCCCCCTTATGTAAGTTCACCCAGGGGTGAACTTCATAGCATTTTGCACAATTTGAAATTATGCATTGCATGTGTGTGATTCTGGGGTTAATAACCAATGTCCTCTAAATCCCATAAGGGAGGGCCTGTATCTGACTTGTTCACCGTCGTATTCTCAGCGTCTAATACAGATCCTGAGAGGTGGTAAAATTTGGTATTTGAATTATTGACATCCCTAGCTTTCATTAGATTTTCAAGGTGCCCAGGTTCACCCAAAAGATTAGGAACAATTGTTGCAGGATCTTAACGGTATGTATCGAATGATTCCATGAAAGAAATAATGTGGAACCCAAGAGGATGAACTTGGCTTTTTTCAAAGGAAAAAAACAACTGCCCAGGTGGTAAGAGCCAAGGATTCAAACCTGTGTCTCTTGTCTATGGGTCAAGTTCCCTGGTTTGGAATAGGGACATTGCCATTGGTAACATCAAAGATGAAGAACCTGGGGATTATTTTCCATAAGCAAGTTTTCATCAGCTCCAAGACAGCCCTCTTCACCCCAGAATTCCACCCTGATGATCTATGGTTGTCACCTCCAGGACAATTCTCGAATGGAAGTGACATTTTCCATTTGAGTCATAAGACCGATGTTATGTTGGCTCTGGAGTGGTTAAGGGCGGGGGGGGGGCGGGGGGAAATATCTTTAATCTCAGTTCCTAAAACCCAGAAATGTAACAGTAACCTTAATTACATCTTACCTGTGTCACCTCCAATATACTTTGATTAGCTGTAAAAATCGCTGAAATTTTTAGTGGGAGATGAATTTCATTTGTAGAACAGTATGCACATTTGCTACCTAATAAGAGCATACCTTTTCCTCGGCACTTTACATACATGCCTCATTTAATCTTAGCTGCAACCTTATGAAATAGGTTTTTATCACCCTTTTTACAGATGGGTAAACTAAGATTTAAAGAACAAACTTGCCCATAGTAAGTAGAGGAATCAGCAATCAAAGATATGTTTGACTCAGGAGGACAAGCTATTTTCACTAACCACATTGCAAAAATCAACTTAGGATTCATTCTAAGCATGCGTTATTATATTGTTTATGTATGCATTGTCTCTGTTATTTGTTGATGGGATTAGGGAGGGGGCACTGCCTTGTTTCCTTCAATCCTACACTGAAAACATTTAGAGGGAACCTGTATGATTTTGTGCCCTGTCTTGACCTTCCTCATGATCTTAATGTTTGTATTCCATTGGCAGCTTCTGGAACCTAATCCTGACCAACGGTTTTCTCACTTGTCTGACGTTCAGAACTTCCCATCTATGAATGATATGAACTGGGATGCGGTTTTGCAGAAGAGGCTCATGCCAGGTTTTATTCCTAATGTGAGTCAACCCTACCAAATCCGTAATAACCCTCACTCAGTGCACGTTACTCTATGTGCCAGATATACACATGGTCTCATGAGATAACCACATCGGTATGGTTAGACAGTCCAAATCCCTGTGTTACAGATGAGAAAACTCAAGCACACACAGGTACATTGGCCACCAAAGCTCACATGGCTAACAAGTGGCCGAGTTGGGGTTCTGATCCAGGACTGTCTGTGCCTGGAGTTCTAGCTCCTGCCCGCTTTTTGTGGCATGCTTTTTGGGGGGGAAAGAAGCCCTAATCCTCCTAATACATAATAATACATAAGTCCTCACTGAACGTCACAGGTTCTCTGACTCGAAGAGAAACGTGTAACAAAACCAACTTTACCACAGGCTGAGTGATGTAGACAAGAGTTAAGTTCCTATGCATCGCATTAGCATTATAACAAAACAGAATTTCATGACCTGCTCTAGTCATTTCCAGGCATCTGCTCATTGAAAACAACAACGCTTTCTCTGATTCCAAAGACATAAAAATTTGTATCCATGGAGTTGTATGAGTCAAAGGATTGAAAACTGTTGGGGTTGGCGTGAGGTATTATTTTTACCACTCACCCCTGGTCCTCTGGTAGTTCTATGCCAGGAACTATTGGGTTTTCGGAAAAGTCATGACGCATTTTTGCAACGAAAAACAGAAAAAGCCCGTCATGACTTTTCCGACAACCCAATATATTGCTAAGGACTAAGAGCCAAAGGGAAATAATTCCCATTGTGTAAGTCCCTGGCCAGGGGACATGTGTGGCCTCCTGCAGACCACTGGTACAAGTCGGAGTCCAAGAGCCCAGGACTAGGGGCCCAAGCGAGGCCTCTAGGTCCTCTCTTCCCACGGCCTGATTCCACACACTCAGTTGTAGGTAGGTAGGCAGGATAATGAGTTTTTAAGGGGCCTGTAGAGACAACTCAGAGTTTTCTGTTCTGAAGCCAGGTGCTTGCTGTGAGCGTATGTGATGAGGACCCTTCGTGTGTAAACAGCCAAGAGAGACGCTCTGGTGGGTGGGTCGAGCAAAAGTGCACAGTGAGGGCACAGAGAAGGCCGCGCGCTGGAATTCACGGATGGGGAAGCGCTACTGTATAGAGAGCAACGGGAGGTAGGGGGTCAAGGACTCACCTGGCCACTCTGCAGGGTCCAGGAGGGGCAGGCTGACACATGACACTGCGAAGATCTAGCTACCACCTCCTGTCGCTTCCACGCGGACGGGACACCACCGCACACTGTGCCAGCGCCATTAACATCAAGGCCTCCACGGACGCTGCTCTACGTAATGGTTCTGACTTTATTGTGAATCTGAATCACCTGGGGGAGCTTGTTAAAAGTGCGGTTTTCAGGGCCGCAGATTCGGGAAGCTGCGCAATCAACTCAGGTGATGCTCATCTACATAATCATTAGCACATACTTTGAGAAACAGACCCCAAAAGCTCAAACTTCAGAAAAATAATTGTCATTTGATTGCCTTTCTAACTCACTGGAGGCTCATTGGGAATGTAGACAAATAAACACATTATTAAAGAATATGAAAAGCAACGTTGAGAATATCTGATCCCAAAACTGAGAGCGGGAATCCCCAGCTTACTAGCCCCGGGCTGACTTCTCAGAACCACGTGTTTTTCTCCACATTCCGCTGGTGTGTTTTTAGAATGACACAGGCATCTAAAGTCAGCCAACCTGTCTTCCTTGCAGAAAGGTCGGCTGAATTGCGACCCCACCTTTGAACTCGAGGAAATGATTTTGGAGTCCAAACCTCTTCACAAAAAAAAGAAGCGTCTGGCAAAGAAAGAGAAGGAGATGAGGAAATGTGATTCCTCTCAGGTGAGCAGTGTCCCCCAAACTCAGGGTCAGGGGAGCCTTCATGATGGCCGCAGTTCATCCGAGAGCTTCTGTTGGGAGGCCATCTCAGCATCCTGCTTTTGCTGCCTTGTGAATGCAGGCAGAAGCTGAACACCTAGTTTTCCTACCATCTTGGCAGAAAGCTGCTGTGTTAAGAGGCTCTCTATCAGATTGTGTTTCTCCTGTAGCTTCATGTCCCCCGTGATCCCAGAAACTCTCCGGGTTACAAGTACCCCCGTTTGAGAATAAGAGTGAAACACAGCAGAATCTTTTTTTCTCTGCTTTGTCTTGCTTCCCTCCCCCCACCTCTGGACTTTCCTCTCCTTTTTATAGTTTCCTATCACTGAAACATTTGCTTGGGAAAGAGAAAATTCTCCAATACTTCAGAACTTAGTATTTTCTCATTCCTAGATTTTAAAAAAATGATATTTTCTTTCCTTAGGGAAGACTATTTTTCATCAGAAGTAATTTGGACTTGCTTTGTTGCAGATTTTTTTTTAATTTTTTATTGTTAGTTTCAGGTGTACAGAATTTTTTAAAAAAACACTGGACCTCGGGCTGACACTGTCCTGGGCTTGATGATGATAATTTTTTTTGAGGTTACATTTTCTAATGACGATGGAAAAGTCATCAACAGGTGTTGAAAGCCAGTCAGTGAAATGTCAAAGCAAATATTTTACATGTATGTTGGAAAATCACAAATAAAGACAGCTCCACTCACTGCACCTGAAGCCTAGTTAATCAACCCCAGCACAGTTGTTGAGGGGAACATTCGATCAGAATTCAGTGTGAAGAGATGTTTCTAGGCTATTTATTAAATCCAAGCAGAACCTCCAAAACTTTCACACCAGGGTCAGGAGATGAGAGGTAGGTAAGTAACCAGCTTAGTGAACCCGTGTCCGCACCTGCCTTAAAGCCATGGTTTCTTCTTGGGTTGAATATTAAGTTCATAACCATAACGCAGATTTTCCTTGCAGTTTCATTGTGGGGAGCAGAGTGTTGACGCATTTTTATCCTCTTGCTGTTTCTTCCCCATTTGTTCCTTTATTATTCTGGTTAGGGTCTCACTCCTACTACAAACTTTCAGATAACATCCATTTTGAATATACATTGGTACTTTGATTTGGGCCATTCAGTGGACATTCAATAGGTTATTGGCTGTGTGATGACCCTCGTTGGTCTGCTAACTATGCCTCTATTTGTTTTTTCAATGTTTACCTGGAAGACATGCCTTCTTCAAGAGCACCTTGAATCTGTCCAAAAGGAGTTCATAATTTTCAACAGAGAAAAGTAAGTAGCTCCTGGAAGAACAGCAGCCCAGCAAATGATGTAGTGTCTCAGCCAGACTTTTCTTGCAAAGCCTTAATAACATTTTTTTAAAAACATTTTTATTCTAATTACAGGAATGATGCATATTCATAGTAGAACATTTGGAAAGTTCAGAAACCTTTTTTGCTTGTAAGAAATTTCAAAAATTGTAATAGATAAATGAGCTTAGTTAGCATCAAGTTTCTGTTTATGGGGAGGGCAGAGGAACTAG